CCATCCAAGGCTATAGAACCCGGTCTGTTCTGCCATTTACCCATAGTTGAAGGGAGAAGAAGGGGATTCATACCTTTCCCAAGGTTATTAGCACGTAAGTGAATGGATTCGACTGTAATTCGAACTCGGCTCTCCGATTCCTCAATCCGAGCAGCTATCCATTACTCCACAACTTATATATATTTTTATATGTGGCTACACAAACCCTGTATCATGTCTGGTTGTCAGACACCGTTTAAGGGGAGGTAATTAGGTATGCTGTAGAAAAGTTCCGGGCTTGAGTAGTTGTCAGATAAAGGAAAAACTATTAATGACAAGCGCTAACGTTTAGAGATTATCTATTGTACACATTTTAAAATGTTTGTGGAGTGTTCGTAATTAATTTTATTGGGGTTTAGTTTCAATTTTTTGATATAAATGGCTTCGAGTATTTTTGTTTGTGTTTATCCTTTTCGTGGAGAAGTATGGAGGTATTTTCGACGAGGATTTTTCTGAATTGCAAGTGTGGACTTGTACGTTATTATAACTGTTTAGAAATATTGGAATATTCAGGTGAAAACTTAGTCTACGTGAAAGCGTTGTTGTTGTGTACCCAACATAGATATTATTTTTACGTTAAAGATGCAGTCTCCCAGAGGACATAAAAACGATGTTGGTTTTCTGTAACACGCAAGTGGCTGGAGAGGAATCATTACGAATGATTTTATAGTGGATTTAACGTAGTATATAATAAGATTTATTTTTTTTTTTACTGGGGTCTATAGTAGATAATTAGATTTTATTAAATTTTTAGGATATTTTAGACACATATAAAAATGTTAATCTACGGACGTCCACAACAATTTTTGTCCTTCACAACCATCAACACTAAATACTTACTCTATATTTAACAATACCTTGATGACATTATGCTATATTGAAATAAATACTCGGAATAAATACAATATGAGCCAACACGGTGTTTTCCTTTCGTCTTTTAACAACCACACAAAAAAAACTTATTCGCGAATATGAAAGGATATAATCGAAAATAAGCAGACAGAACGTGCCTAAATTATCATGCTGCCAAAATACACACATACACACACACACGCACACACACACACACACATATATATATATATATATATATATATATACGTGATAATGTCCTTCACCTATAGCACGACTCTAACAACAGCCTAATCTTACAATGGAAAAGGCAATACATGTAATTTATGTCTTGATGAAAAATTTGTTATTTTAAATCGCTTAAATAACTTTCGCTTATTAAACAAGCGAAATCAATTGATGATTACATGTAGGCATAAAAATATCTGCTCAAATACGTTGATCTAGATTAATTTTAATGTAAATTATGTTTTTTAAAAAACTAGAACCAGTAATATCTCTCTCTCTTTCTCTCTCTCTCTCTCTCTCTCTCTCGCTCTCACTCTCTCTCTATATATAAATAAATTCCGTTTCTAGATGCCAAATATATTTTTAAAATTAAAAACCTGTAATCTCAGAAACAGCGCCAACATTGCGGTAATCAGATATTTTTATTAAAATTTCAATTATATAACTTTAGTTTCTACTCAGTACCTTAAATTTGCGTTGTGCATGAAAATCCGAGTCGTGCTATCGGTGAGAGATAATATGTATATTCATCAATATATACTTAAACGCTTTGTTTTCTTATATCAAACACTGTTTTATTAACACCAGCACTACTATATATATATATATATATATATATATATATATATATATATATATATATATATAGTCCGAATAATGTAAATAATATATATGTATATATATATATATATATATATTATTTACATTATTCGACTATTGTCTTATATATATATATATATATATATATATATATATATATATATATATATATATATATATATATATATATATATATATATCTTAGATAAGACTAGACATAGATAACTAAAGAGAGACTGATTAAACTAGTTCGATATATATGTATATATATTGTTATGGGATCTTACCCATAATAATAATAATGGACTATTCCATACTTAATAAATACTGCGCCTCAAAGTAGGCAAAGGGTCAGTAGTTCAAGTCTTGAACGACAGATCGGTTGAAATCTCTGCCTTCTGGCGGGGAGGAACCCGAACGAGGCTACGCCGAAGGGCGGAGTCTCGTGCGGGGAGTTAAACCGACCCTGAGCCCGTTTATACGGGTTCAATGGGCATATTTTGGGGCCGAGCCCACGGGCTCGGAGAACCCACAATAAATAACCGACCTTGTGTCACATGCTGCCTCAGTGGGTGGGGTGACTGAATATCGTCAGTAGTTCAAGTCTTTGTGAAGTGACAGTATACGTGCATCATTGTACGTTGTTCCATTACAAGTTGGGTAAAACAGAAGGGAAGATCACTGATCACATATAATGAGATGGTTTGGTTTGAAGCAGTACGTGATTTTTTGCTGTTTTTAAATCAATATAAGACCCAAGAGTCACCCAAAGTAGAGGCTTACTGAATGAAATTTTGTATGGATGTAAGTGAAGATGTGCAGATAAGGATATATTGGATAGCTAACAGTTGCTCGTAGGATTAAGGATATTACGATTTCAGCGGTTGAGGTAATTCTGTCAAGGCTGGAATGTGAGGATTGGGCAGCCTTGTCTCAGATATTTTTTTAATCGTTTCACCGCAGGCAAGGCGATAATGCCACTAAGACGCAGGAGTTTACAGGGAGTGAAAGAGATTAAGAAAATCTTGGATTTAGGTAAGGACAAAAATGAATAGGGTTCAAGAAAACAAAAGATGCCACTTGACGTTGAATTTAAATTTTTGAAGATTGTCTTTGGCAGGCAAGCGAGAAATTGGAAAAGATATCCACAGGTGGGAAGTGCGAGAGAAAACGGTTAGTTTAGAAGTGGCGGTTGCATCTTGCTAGTTCAACAGTAAAAACAGTGAGACCTAGTTTCCAATCTAGTAGTACGCTTAAATTTATGTAGTAGAGGTCCAAAGGAGGCAAGTTCATCAGAACAACTGCCATGAAAATATTTCTAGAAAAGACAGTGGGAAGCCGTCTGTGAGAAAGTGAGAAGTCGAGATGCCAGGTCAGGATCAGTTACATTGCAGATCCTTCTTTGAATGGCAGCAATGATCCAATTTTTAGCTTAATTTGACTTGTAAAGATAGACCATATCAGAAGGAGTCTGTTACTTTCAGGGGTGGTACAGGGAACCATTTAACGACTGATCATAAATATGTTCAACGATATCTGGAGTTAACTTGAGTTTATTTCGACCTTCAAGGTGCCGCCTCTTTGATAGTATATCCGATCATCATGACAGGCGAATATTTGGTGTTTCCGCGATGATGAAATTGTTAGACATTTTCATGACGGTCGTCCTCGAGTATAGAATCCAGAGGTTAGCAGTGAATATTTCGGAGACAGTAGGAAAGCATAGTGGAGGTTCGCAGTGGATATCACAGCAGAGTGTAGTTCATCCTTCTCCTGGTCGCCTTTGGTCCTTCCGGTAGAGGAAACAAGATGGCCGCCTTTATACACGACGAATACCGTGTTGTGCGGCTTCTGATTGGTCAACCTTCTATTGGTCGACTATAAAGGGAAATAAGTCATTCTGACTCGCTCACTAGTTATATGTAGTATATACCCCAAAAACCGTAACAGAAATAGGTGAGTGTTTAGCGTGGTTTTGGAGATATTGAATGTTACAGGCCTGTTTTTCTCATTGACCTGTTAGAACTAGGTAGAAATACTTCGTTAAAAACAAAGAAAAAGCTACTGAACTGTTACGTAATATATATCCTCCTATATGACAATGAATGCTGGATAATCTCCTCGAAGATGAAGAAGAGATTTGAAGCAACAGAAATGTGATTGTAAAGAAAGACGCTGAGGATAACATGGACTGAATATTTGAGCAACGACGAAGTTTTGGCGAAAATGTAAACAAAAAAGAAACTTATATTTAACATCAGGAAGAGAAAGTTGAAATTTCTAAGGTCCATAATGAGGAAAGATGGCCTGAAAAATATGATACTCACAGGGCAGATTAAAGGCAAGAGGGACAGAGGAAAGCAAAACATAACATACTTTGTGACCTTGAGTAAATGGATGGCAGAACAGGGTCTAGGCCTAGGAGAAATAACAGAGAGACAAAAATGATTAAGAGCTACAAAGGACAGGAAATTGTGAAGAGCCATGACTGCCAATATCGTGAATGAACATTAATGGCAGTTATATCTAATCTTACTTATAAGAACATGGCTTAGGAGACGTAACAGAAAGACAAACATTATTAAGAGCTACAAAGGAGAGGAAATTGTGGAGAGACATAATCGCCTACGTCCTGAATGGACACGGCACATAAAGATGATGCCATTTTGTTTCCCTATATTTTACCATCTTTTAGGGAGCCTCATGATTTCATCCTACCAGAACTTGGCATCTTTCTGGGTCTAAGGAATTAGTTTTGTTTACAAACTTCCAAAGAATTGGAAGTTCTTTGCACTGAGAGAATTCGAAATTACTGGTAATCTGAATATTTGATGTCAGATGAGTACGGTGTGTGTATTAGGATAATCCATCCAAGGAGAGGATATTGTGGAGAGCTATAATCGTCAATTCCCTGATGGGACACAACACATAAAGAAGAAGAGGAGAGTTCAGCAGCAAGGTTCTGTTCATCAAGATTTTAAGAGGTTCTCTCATACGCTGTAAAGGGCTTGTGAATTTTGCATAAAGGACATATTTCGCTGAGGAAGCCACAAGAGACTTGAAATGTCGATTATGCTGCGGTAAGCCACAAGAGACTGGAAATGTTGATTTGCAAATTCTATCGAATAATATCAAAGTTAACTGAATGCATGGTTCATCGTTCAAATGAAATTAGCATTGGAAAATATGGAGAGTCATGATCGTCGACGTGTGTGAAGGTACACAGTGCAAAAGATTTCCAATCCCGAGCCGTTATACATTACACCACCCACACATCCAAGCTTACAGTACCTGGTATTCCCAAGTGGTCACCCATCTAGGTACTGACCAGGTTTGACGTTGCTTAATTTCGGTGATCATACAAGAACCGGTGTTTCAATGTGATATGTCCCTCGAGAAAACTAATTTATTGAAAAATACTTTTAAAAGAAAAAAAATATTTATCACTAACAATGAATACCGAATATTTTCTCTACAGAAACAGCTAATTAGCATTGCGAATGATTTTACTATAAAAATGCACCGGAATGGATTTTACTATAAAAATGCACTGGAAATAATTTTACTATAAAAATGCATTGGAAAGGATTTTACTATAAAAATGCACTGGAAAGGATTTTACTATAAAAATGCACTGGAAAGGATTTTACTATAAAAATACATTCGAAAGGATTTTATAATAAAAATGCATTGCAAATTATTTTAATATAAAAAAGCATTGGAAATAATTTTACTATAAAAATGTATTGGAAAGGATTTTACTATAAAAATGCACTGGAAAGGATTTTACTATAAAAATACATTCGAAAGGATTTTATAATAAAAATGCATTGCAAATTATTTTAATATAAAAAAAGCATTGGAAATAATTTTACTATAAAAATGCATTGGAAAGGATTTTACTATAAAAATGCACTGGAAAGGATTTTACTATAAAAATACATTCGAAAGGATTTTATAATAAAAACGCATTGCAAATTATTTTAATATAAAAATGCAACAGAAGGGATTTTACTATAAAAATGAATTGCAAATTATTTTACTATAAAAAAGCATTGGAAATAATTTTACTATAAAAATACATTGGTAATGATTTTATTATAAAAATGCATTGGGGATAATTTTAGTATAAAAATGTATTGCAAGTGATTTCATTATAAAAATGCATTGCAAATGATCTCTATCTATAAAAGTCAGGATATGTGTGTGTGTGTGTGTGTGTGTGTGTGTGTGTGTGTGTGTGTGTGTGTGTGTGACGAATGCACGGCCGCAATTTTCGACGGATTTGCACCAAAATTTACATGCACATGCTCCAAGTTAGCGGAAAGGCCAAGACCGACTTTGCATTTCCCAACTCCCATCGATAGTGGAAGTAATCGATTTTTTCATGCTTCTACGGCAGTTTTCGTGTAGTTTGCGGCCATTTTCTACTGGCTAGAGTGATAGTCTTGCTTAAACTCAACGTTGATTCTGATTCCGCAGAAATGGGTTGGGTGTGAAAAAGTATTTGTTGTTAACATTCTTTTTACATTCGGTTTTTCCAGTTACGAGTCCTTTTTTAAAGCTTTGTTCTTTTTTCGTAACAGATTTAATGTTTAGTATAGAGCTTACAAAAAAATTGCAGTGTGAGATAGGCAAGAAGTAAGGCATGTAGCAACATCAGCACGGCAAAGGGCACTCCTTTAAAGGAAAGGAAGGGCAAAAATATTTTAAGTCTCGTGATAGCGATTGCTGTATGAGTCGTACAATTTTTGAATCAAGCACGTGTAACGCTGGGCCATACTGTTAGTAAACATAAATGTTAGTAAACATAAACATGAATTGGAAATGATTTTACGATAAAATGCATTGCAAATGATTTTAATTTGAAAATGCATTGCAAATTATTTTAATATAAAAATACATTGGAAACTATTTTAATATAAAAAACATTGAAAATGTTTTTACTATAAAATGCATTGATATGATTTTATTATAAATGCTTTTGGAAATGATTTTACTATGAAAATGTATTGGAAATTATTTTATTATAAAATTGCATTTACTATAAAATTTCATTGCAAATTATTTTAGTATAAAAATACATAGGAAATGTTAGTATAAAATTGCATTGGAAATGATTTTACTATAAAAGTTCATTGGAAATTAGTTCACTATTAAATGCATTGGAAATGATTTTACGATAACTGTTTGGTTAATGAATGCTAAATGTTTCTTGTATGCTAATTTCACCATCATCATTCCTATTAAAGACAGTTGGTTTTAGAATAATTCTCTTGGTTTATTTTCATCAGCGTAACAGACAGTAATTATTATCGAACATATTTTTTTCTTTTCTGATTCTATTTTTGTTATGAAAGACTACTCTAATAATGTCAAGATATAATTGCCGGAAGATTATAAACTTTCTTGAGCTTAATTTTATCAACGTTTTATTTTTTTTTTCCTCGTGTTTGAGTTTCACACTTCCAATGACATTAGGAAATATTTTCAATCTTTTTTTTTTTTTCTTCTTTAATATAGTGTAAACTTCTCGGTTGAAGTGTATACTTGGCAAGTTTCCCACCTTCAGTATCTCAGGATGTCTTTTCTATAAACGAAGAGGCTTTCGTGCAGATCTATTGTGGCAGAACATTTGGTTTATCTGTTAATGATATCAAAACAAACATTAGAAAAAACAATTTGGAAAGATTTATTAGGTTTTAAAATACTTTACAGAAAGAAAAGTTTTAGGAGCTGAATTGTCTATATTTTGGCCCCAAGTAAAATGATTATTTTAGAAAATCTTATTTATTTAACAGTTCATTGGCTGCATTTTTTTAAAACAAATTTATCACTTCAATTTAGTCACATTTAAATGACAGAAAGAATGTATTTTCCCATTAATTTCATATTTTATCAGTTGGTTTCATAATCACAGTGACTGCCATGGTGCTATGTCTAGATTATTTACTCTACTTAGGTTTCATAATAATTGATTCTGTAATCTCAGAGACTGTAAGTGTGAAATGTTAATTCCTCCATTTTATTTTTAGTAGAAGGGCGAAATACTTGATAACTGTTACCATGATGAGCTCACCGGGACAATATCCGGACAAAGGAGTAACTTTGGGCTTGGTTTCATCATCTACTTTCTCATGAAATGTAATACGGATTTTCATTAGTCATCATCTAAGTCAAGATGGCGGTCTCAGTACTGGATTTAAAGGCAGATAAGTTTATTTGGTGGCTACTAAAATGATTCAGAAGATTTTCATAGTGAAATGAAGAGTTTTTCAGATTTTTTAGAGAAAGTTGATTGGGTTTGTAATCATTAATACTTATAGCATGCCTTGCTGGTCTCAACATGCTATCTATATTTCTATATTATTTTTAAAACAAGGGTTTACATGATAGTCGATTCAATAAACTATAATGTCAATTCTGTGCTAGTTCTTGCTTTACATATTATTTGCCTTCTATGTCATTTCTAGAGAAAAGGTTGACTTGATGTTTTAGTTTTGTAATCTATAATGTCATTTGTCTGTTATTTATTTATAACCTTTCATATCCTTTCTAGAGAAATGCTAACATGGCGGTTCGTACTGTAATCTATAATGGAGTCCCACATAGCATTTCATAGCCTTTCATATCATTTCTAGAGAAAAGGTTTACTTGAAACTATAATGTCACTTTCATGCTTTTACGAGACCCACATAGCATTTAACCTTCCATATTAGTTCTAGAAAACAGGCGTACTTTGTTGATTCTATAATCTATAATATTACTTGCCTACTATTACGGGACCCACATAGTATTTAGCCTTCCATATCATTTCTAAAGAAAAGCTTTACTTTGTTATTGTTTCTATAATCTATAATGTCACTTTCGTGCTATTACAGGACCCACATAAAATTTATCCTTCCATAAAATTTCCAGAGAATGTGTTTACTTAATGGTTAGTCCAGTAATGAAAATTTTACGAACTGGTGTCCAAATCTTTATCGACCATAAAATAATTTTAGAGTAAGAGATCCCGTAATTATTGGATACATAACATATATATATATATATATATATATATATATATATATATATATATATATATATATATATATATATCAGTATCATTTCTAAAGCATTTCATAGTGTTTAATTCTGTGATCCATTAAGTTTCTGCAATATTATGCTGGTTTCATTATATCATTATTAAGACAGAATGATTCGGGATCCACATAACTGACTACCCTGCTAAACACTTCAGGTCATTTGTAGAATAAGCAAGATGGTGGTTGGTTCTACAGGGTGGCCACTGAAAAACTGAATGATATAAATCAAAAAATAATTTTTACAAACACATCAGTATGTTGGCGTAGTAAAGTTCGGAGCATTTGAATTTTGTATGGAAAGATTTTTTAAATTCAGTTTCAGAATCTTCTGAAGCGATGTTCTGGTGATGCCTAGATGAGCTGAGTGACGACAGTGGAAGCTGAAGCATCCTCAAGATACTCTTCCACTGCTGCATCAGTGCATACAGTGTACTTAGGATCCATCCTATATAATAACTATAATATATCCGCGCCGTAATTATCTCTAAATAGAGTTTACAATAATTTAAAATGTACTCGTTAACCAGATACACCAGACCTAACTACTCATAATAACCCATTGACCAGCATATATAAATAATCAAGCTACTGCGCAACGAACGCGTTCAACTGGTCGATGTTGATATCAGTGCACACTCTTATCTTATATTTACGCACGCTCTGTCCCTGATGGTGATCACTTTTAGCTACAAACATAGCATACCTTAAACTATATGTTTATCGCATATATATATATATATATATATATATATATATATATATAAGTCTGAAAGAAAATTCTCTGGTATATATATATATATATATATATATATATATATATATATATATATATATATATATATATATATATATATATATATATATATATATAATTTAAATGAAAAACAGACCACTTTAAGGTTCCATTGTAATAATTTATTTCACCAGAGAATTTTCTTCAGACTTCACTTTCAAAGGTGAAACGAAAAATGAATTTAAAACTTACACTTTTGACGGGCAGCATTAAGCTTGTGTAAGTTGAATTAGAGGGTGATGAGGAATGGTGTGAGAGACATGGTCGAGTTTAGAGAGGGAAGGGAGAGTTTAAAATTTATCTTTATATTTCTTTTTATTATAATACTTAATATTAAAGAAGGAGGTGGTAAGGATCACATATTGACCTATTTAATCGGTCAACTTAACGGAAATGATATGGGAAAAGGAAGAAAGAAGAAAAAAGAAAAAGAAAAAGGGGGAAGTAAAGAGATAAGAGATCTACGTATGGTTTTTTGGGAGGAAGGAGGTGGGTGACATAACTTTA